CGGGGCACGGGCAGGGGCAGCGGGCACTCGGGGGGCGCGTTCCTTCTGTGTACACCCAATTCAGTCCGTCCCAGGACAACCCGGGACAGCGGCAGCCAATAAATTAGGGACTTTATTCCTGATTTCTAGACGCCGAACAGGACACAAACTAGTGCAGCGCTGCCGAGACAAGAAGAGCGTTGATGAGGTTGTTAGCCATCCTTTCAGGGAGCGGGAGGCTTTCAGGCTTTCTAGGTAATTCATCGATTAACAGCTGCATTAGGCCAAGCAGCCTAATGAGGGTTTGGATAATGAAACCAGTTAGACCAGTTAGAACAAGTCCAGAGAAGGGCCACCAGGATGATCCGAGGGCTGGAGCACCTCTCCTATGAAGACAGGCTGAAAGAGTTGGGGCTGTTCAGCCTGAAAAAGAGAAGGCTCCGGGGAGATCTTATAGTGGCCTTCCAGTACCTGAAGGGGCTACAAGAAAGCTGGGGAGGGACTTTTCATAAGGGCAACTAATGACAAGACAAGGGGAAATGGGTTTAAACTGAAAGAGGGGAGGTTTAGATTAGATATTAGGAAGAAGTTCTTCACTGTGAGGGTGGTCAGACACTGGAACAGGTTGCCCAAGGAAGTTGTTGATGCCCCCTCCCTGGAAGTGTTTAAGACCAGGCTGGATGAGGCTTTGAGCAACCTGATCTAGTGGAAGGTGTCCCTGCTGATGGCAGGGGGGTTGGAACTAGATGATCTTTAAGGTCCCTTCCAACCCAAACCATTCTATGATTCTATGATAAACCATCGGGCAGTCAAAGGCAACCTATTGACATTCTCCATTGTCTGTGCTTCAGAGAAGCTCCCTCTATAGGCTCCACTGCCTCCGTACCGGGGCTGGAAAGCATTTTCTTCATACTTCTAAGCCCAGCTTTCCCATCTTTGAGTTAACGCTGCAGTATGCTGTAAGAAAAAACATAAGTTTATTCTGGTACCACCCACCAAACACCTGCTTTGAAAGTACTTGTCAGCTTAGGTTCATAACAAGCACACAAAATGACAAAGCATTTTGAAGATGTCGAAGAAAAAAGGATCTTAGCAATGTAACATTTAGTTTGGCATTTTTCCAGTTTTATTTCTAATACTTCCCTTCTAAGTCCCTCTTTACAATCACCTACCTTGTTTTACCATGACAAAGTTTCAGCAGATGCAAGTTTGCAACCAAAGGTTTTAAAATACTTGTTAACTATCTGATACTTACGGATATTTTTATGGGCATGAAGACTTCGGTTGTTCACCCCTCTCTTCCCAGTAGCTTCCTCCTCCCCAAGAAAACTACAACACACTTGCACGTTTATTTAATACTTTAATAACTGAAACTGAACAAGTAAATTAGTTGCAAGGAAAAAATATTCAAATATAAATTTGGTAAAGTACATTCTCCTCACAGAGGACTAACCACGTGCCACAAACCTGTGTGCAAAAGAGAGCCTATGAACAATTTTTAGAGCATGGAAGCACACTCTAGGGAAGATGATTAATATCAGAAATTTCAACCTAAAAAGATAATAAAATAAACACAAAATTAAGCTCTGGAAAACAGAAGTGCTAAATACAGTTGTCTTGTCAGTCACAGTTGTACACCACTACCCCAAAGCTATTACAAAAGCTCTACTGGAGTTCTGCAATTAATATGACTAATCCTTAGCAGGTAGAAGTTAGTATAGTTCTTCTGAAGTCACTGGAATCTGTGACTTTGTCAGAAGTGATCCCTAAGTGTGGCTCCAAAAAAGCTATTGCATGTACTTGTCACAAAAGCATGGCAGAATAATGGCAGGATTATTTAAATAAAGATGTACAAATACTGAATCATACAAGAATACAAAAAGCATGAATATCACAGAATGTTAGTTCAACATTACTGGTATTTCTAACAAACTGTAGTTTTTAAAAAGTCTACCACTCAGTAAGTACTTGAAAAGTTACAGCAGAACAATAGATTTATAAAGAGATTTGTACCAGTTTTTAAGTAAAAAATACAAGTTTTATCTTCCAGTTTGTTTTACTCTTAGCAAATTTCATACAGCCTTTGGTTTCAAACCAATACAATGCAATTAATATTAGAGTGCTTGCTTAGTATTCATTAGGATAGGATGCTGTACAATTGGGGGAGAAAATATGAAAAACAGGAGTGCCAAAGTACTGTATTATAGAAAGTAAAGGCTGAAGCAAAAATACTCTTGGGTATATCCTGTACATCATGTAAACACATATTCAGAATAGTAAACAGGCTAAAATGTATTCCAAGCCTCTCAAACAGTTACGGTATAGCATACATATACATATATATAGCATATATAACATCACCTTTAGGAAATGTAGTCCATTACATCCTAATTCTGTGCTTAACTCATTTCCAATTCATACAATACATTCATATATTAGCAGTACATCTCATTTATCATTTGGAGTTTGCTGGTTGCCACATACAAGGACAGATCAAATAATACTGAGCCTTGCTTGTAACTCAGATACCCTCGGTATATAGACAATGCTCAACTGCTCAAGAACCATATTTCTTGTTACCAAAGCTGAGAATTTTCAGATTTATGTATAGCAAATCAAGCTGAAATTCTGTTCTTTGCAGAACAGTAGTTTTCCCAATTATTTTTCATTAACTGGGTAGAGCAAGTAGTTAGATTCTGCTTTAAAAAGCAGATACCAAAATTATCAGTAAGAGCACACAAAAAAAATTACTACTTGTATATATAACGTTCAGTCTCTCTACATTTTTTTTTTTTTTTTAGTTTTGGATAATAACACTTTGAAAAGAGACCAAATTTTTTGAATGTTGTAAGAAGCAACTTACTTGCTCACCTACAACAAAAAATAAACCAAAAAAAGTTTATTAATTTAACAATTTATCAAAGTGGCTTTTAATAGCACTGAGATACACGCAAGTCCACCGTAGCAAAATGTTATAGAGTAGTACTAGCATGAATTGGATATTAATGCAAGAAATGCAGCTTAAGATGTTTGTGACTATGTTTCTAAGAAATATCTCAGTGCCTCATACTAAGAACTCCTTCTAGCTTTAAACCTTCTTCACTTCTGGGTAAATCATGACTGACTTTCTTTCTTCAAAGCTTCTAGTCTTTGTAGTAATGCATTTCCAAACACGTCACGATACGCAGGGCTGAGAGAGTCCAATAAGGAGTAGACAGTTTCATGGTATGGAGTTTGCAGTCTGTCATCAGTCTGGTCAAAATCATAAGCTACTACCTGCAACAAAGAAATCACTGGTTAAATTTCTGTGGTTAGGATCACCCTGCAATGGGAAACGGATATCACAACGTTTAATTTTGCCAGTCAGGGTAGTACAGCAATGTGAGAACAAAAGATACTGGATTTAAATCGCAATCTGCGCTTTCTACTGTGGGGCTTAGTGGTAACACAGTATTTAGACAGTTTCAAACACCTTTCGTCCAGAACTCAGAATATTAGTAAAATCTATCATTATGACCTTCGAAAAGAAATCTTACATCTACACTTTTGCTCAAAAAATACAAACGGTGCAAAAAGGAGTTGTACACATGCTGTACTATGGACTTTTCCAGGCACCAGAGAAATCCAAAACCTGACATGCTCATAACAAATCGCTGCTTCAATCTTTGGCATTTATTTGAGACACAAAATTACTTGTTTTTCCTCAGCTTCCCCTCTTGCTTTGCTGGAATTAACTAGTCAAAGTTCCACTTTCTAGGAGAAAACATGTAGAACAGGCTTTCATAAAAGTACAAGAGGAATATGCTGATTTGGTGTCACTGAAGTATTTTTCTAGGCACCTTTTGAAGACGATCATTGTTCAAAACGAAGATGCTTAAGAAATAAACAAATTAGTTTACCCTGAGTCCTGCTTCAGTTAGCTCCAGGCAGTATCTGTTCCTTTCCCTAGTTTCCACATTGATATATGCCACATCCTCTGCACAGGGAAGGGTTTTTGAGACAAACATGTTGCTGACAGCGAAGAGAACATCATTCACAACAGCTTCGGCTTCTAGTCTCATGTCTTTCACATCTGTTCCTTCAAAGTCCCTATAATCAGAATCCTCTTCAAACCCCATATTATTGGGCAACTCCATAGGATTGCAATCAGTCTCCATTCTGCATATAGAAACATGTATGTTACATTTATCATACCACTACACTCAATATATATTAAACACCATAAAACAAGAGATATAAGCAGACATATTTAATTTTATTTTTTTTTAAAAAAAAGGAAAATGTGAGACCCAATGACTTCCATAAGTCATGAAATGACAGTCCAGAGAACTCAAAACCAAGATGTTGAGAATGGCTTAGGAAGGTTACATTAGCACAATAGAAGCAGTATCCATATTACTGAAGTTGCTGCTTCTTATGCAAGTAACTCTCATTCTGCTGTATAAGACTCTGATTCAGCAGTAATTAATTCTGCACTTTGGTGATCTGCAACGCAGTAGGAAGCCCAGTCATGCCTGGAAACACTGAAGTCAATAAATGTCAAAAATAAAAACCTATTGCTGGTGAATTTAAGAAAGACTTAGGCAAATCTGTGAACTAAATGGGTTGCGACTATAAAGACAGATTAAAACCAGCTTTGTGTTTACAGTCACTAAAGAACAATTCTCTTGTTCAGCTTTTATGCACAACTGTCTATACATTTTAGGGACACCCATCGCTGGCCTTTGTAAGCAACCGTTAGCAAAAAGGGGCAGGCTATGGGGGCTACCACAGCGGCTCCAGCATTTGCCTCTCACGAGGGTCACCGTGAGGCCCCAGCTAACTGACACCCACCGGGAAACCTGCCTCGGGCCAGCCGGGAGAGCCCCGCGGGAGGCTGCCCCGAGTGCTCTGGCAGCTGAGCGCTGCTGCCGGGCGGGAACGGGGACTGGCAATAA